AAAGCCTCTCAGCGCTGTAAGGACAAGATAACAAAAAAAAAAAAAAATTAAAAATAAATACCGGTCAGTCAACGCATTACGTGTGATTTCTGTATATTTAAATATATTTTTTTTTTCAAGAGTGATTTACAAAGCAACATGAAACAATAATGTAAAATAAATCAAAAGAAAAAATATCATTCGAAAATTATGGGGAAAAATACATCACTCTGCAATCCTGTTTTGAAATCCACGCTTGATTTATTTACTTGTATTCAACACGAACAACATTTTCGTTGGAATAGATATATCCAGAATTTCTTAGTCATTTTTGTATATAAATATTACACTAAATATCTTTCAACAGATTCATATTATGTGCTTATAAGTGTAAATGAAATAAGTTTATTATAATAAGCAACGTAGTTAATCAAATAATCACATTAAATCTATAAAGCGATAGATTTATGTTAATAAAAAAAAAGTTTTATTAAATCAACAGCACTATCAATCATTGTATCAATTTTTTTTTCACGACTTTCTAATACAATCCGAAACGAAATCGACACTTTTTTATCGTTTTATAACGGAAAACATTAACATTTGCCATTTGATTGACTTGAAATTCGATTTTATTTGTTTGTTTGATAACATTTGATAAATTATAACTGCGTAGAATACCTATACGATATTGTGCAAAATTCACATTAATTCATCTCACTCGATGTACGTAATGAAAATTGGTATACTGTACCAGTGAGAAAAAAAAAACATTTATATAAATTGTATTCATCATGGTTAAATACTCATCACTATTCCGTACACGCTCACTTATAATAGTGCCAAGGCATAGCACTACGAACCGACCTAACCACTACTCCATTGGTCTGCCAAACGAAAATAGTTTCAATGTTTTATCTCATAAATATAGTACACAGTTTAAGTATAACGTATACGTAGTTATCGACGTTCGGGTGAGCTTGTTTCGACTACCGTGGCAACTATGTAGTAGTATTGGACGCACGTTTGCCACATTAACTTCATAAGGCTGGCCCGCGAAACGCGTACTCAGTAGGGTTTTCCGATTGGTCATCAGTAGAGCTCGGATGTTTATGACAGCATATTTTTTTCGCGCATACAGAATTACACCAGGGTAAGATATAAATTTAATCCAAGAAGTCTATACTATAAACAGGCAATTTTTTTTTTTTTTGCATATTTTTGCATATTTGACATTTTTCAGCATAGAAATGCATATATTGATCATTTTTAGATTTAGTGACATATTTATAATAAATTGAATATAATATAAATATAACACTTTATACGGACGGCTATAGTACATTGGAAAATAACTCATATATTATGTCACTATGTATACACGAACGTCATAATCGCCTGTCGACGATCATTATTTTATCGTTTATCGATAATAGACCAATAGTATTTGTACAGGTAAGTATAACAGTTTAGATTAGCTGCTTGCAGTACACTTTGCACGGTGGGTTTTATCTACAATTTCGATAAGTTTATATTTTTGTTGGTGATTAAATATTTCAAAAATTTTTGGACAAAAATTCTGGATATAAAGTATTATTAAAAATTTCTAAAATAATAAATATCAAAACAAATTCGTTTAGTGGACTTCCTGAAGCTATAGAAACTGTCGACATCATTAAATTAAAGTACACGCCGGTCAACTCTGTAGACGTGGAGTGGTCTTTTTCAGTTTTCAAAAACAAATCGTCAGATCGTCGAAGATCTTTCAAATTTGAAAATATATCCAAAATCATTGTTATACAGTGTAATCTTGATATTGAAATTGTTCAACCTACGTAACATGTATTTTAGTTCATATATTTATATTTATAGAATATTACTTTTATAATGTATTTTGCAATGAAGTTTTTTGTAAATAATTTACAAAACAAAAATTGTTCTGAATTACTATTGTTCTATTATTTTGTAATTGTTAAACATAGATATACTATTTAGTATATATTTTACAGTGATAATAATTTATTTTGAATTAATATTAACACCTTTTTTGCGTATATTTTTTTGCATATATTTATTGAAAATAAGTATATTTTATATATTTAAAGGTATATATTTGAATATTTTTAAATTTTTAAATGCATATTTTAATGAAATTTTGGTCATAAACATCAATCATCAGTTTTCCTGCTCTCACATTTCTCGTGGCTAGACAAGACTCTTTTTATGATTTAAATTCGAAACCGGACAAGTAAACGCGTAATATTATATCATACAGACGTTTTGCACGAGAGGTGTAGAAGTGTGATATTTTTTAAGCTTCAATCTACACACAGGGAGAGAAAAAACTAAATTGAATTTCACCCGATCAACTTTTGCGGGTTGACTGACTACTGTTTTCGGTTTACAACACAACTCGATGCTCGATTGTGACGGAGTGTCAAAAGTCGTTAGGAACATCCGACGACAGTTATATCATTAATTAAAATATCGTAGAATCACACAATCGGTTACGAGGAAAAATAAAAAAAATAAAAACCAAACATTTCGCTCGTAATCGAACATGCACAATTAGAGTGCACGGTTCAATCATCGACGAAACACTTCGGGGGTTTTAAAAATCAAACATCATTCAGTGCACGTCCATCAGTACGGAATTCTAACGACAATCGTTCGCGTTACGTGTATTATAAATTATGAAATATGTATTGTTATTATTCTATAATAATAACAATACATACGGATTTGGGAAAAAGCCGAACGCAAACCGTACGCACGGGTAACGATTGTTTTAAAGTAGTCGACTAACAGCACCATGTAGCCACTTCGTTGATTATTCTTTCGTAACATATGAATCCGTTCACATATACATGTGTACACGACTGGTATGACAAACGATGAGAGTGCCTTGTGGTGGGCGAGGTACGTGCACACGCATAGCGTCATAAATATTACTATTATCACTCGGCCAAGCGACGCATACGGTTTGACGTGGTGTGTGCAACGCTCAAAAACGTAATACGGTTTAACGCCTGACGACAATCCATAGGTGTTCACGCTCGTGCGTTTACGTCATCGCGCTGTGCCAACACAATGTCGCACACGTGCACTGTAGATTGAGAAAAAAAAATGATAATAAATACTGAGCGAGAATACACGGTTCACCCAGAGGGATGAATATAAATAAATTCCAGGGGCCAAAGGGTTCGCGTGTAGCCTTTGTGCCAGTGAATTTGTTGTAATGAAACATTTCAACAGTTTGATGGTCGAAATACAACGCTGCACAGCGATGAGTTACAATATTAGGACGACGGTCTTAGGCAGAGAAAACTATTTGATAACCATCGAACGGGTTGGCCGTATTATATTCAGAACTGTTTGTCGACCGAATATCTTAATTTGGTGTGTATGGTAAACAATCGCAACATTTTTATGAACGCTATCTAAATATTATATAAAATTAATCGTTTAATCGACGACAAACTAAATTACAGCTGCTTTAAAAATATTATACAGATAATGATGTCTGACTAAGTATTATAATTATTTAGGAAACATGATTAAACAAAAAAACGATCAACTAAGTATCTCTGCAGATGGATGCAAATTATTTTAACGAAACTCGAATATTTGAAATACTCAATTTAATTATGACGAAGATGCCTATAAAAGACACATATCTAATTTTGACCCATGCTAGCTGTATTTAAGAAGATATTTTATACACTTAAACTGGCTATAAACTAGCGGAATGAAAACTTGTATATACTACTTATAAATAAATTTAAAAAAAAAAAATTAAAAACAAATTTTTTCCGACTCTCAAACATTTTCTCTGAAACACCGGAAATCACTATTATTTACCATTTATAAAAATATCGTCAAAAAATAAATAACTATAAAACCAATATATAGCATTGTCAATTTGCAAAAATTCTAAAACAAACCTAGTCTAAGACTATATTAAGTTCTATCTATTCACTTTTTTTTTATCCCGTATAACTTTAATACTAAATATTTATATATGTTGACGGTATAAAATTTGCATATATAAAATTCAAAAAATACATTATGCATTATTCGTTAAAACAGTTATACAACAGTTATATTTAAGGTATATAGTATAACGACTGAAAAAACACCGAGTTTGGTAGTTCCAGTGAATTTATTATAGTTTAAAATAAATAGCTGACAAATAAATGTTCATAACCATTTATGTTTATACATCGTCTTATACATAAGACGATTAATAATTATAGTACACTTCTTTGTTGGAAAAATGAGTCTTTCAAAATCCAAGAACTAATTTCCAACTTATTTGTTACTATTCAAAATCTAAATAATACCATTTGCTCAGAAGAAGAATTATTATTTTATTTTATTAAAATCATTTTTTTTATATATTTTTTTTGGTGAAATATAAAAAATAACAATGAAAATAGAATATTTATAAAATGTATTTCCAAAATTTGGTAACAAGCTGAGACATTGAAAAGTATCATTCAAAAATATTATTCAAAAGAAATATCATAGACGAGTGGATAGAGTAGCTATGATTTTCAGGTGAAACCATCGACCTGAGAAAAGAAACCACCCCTATCCCTATCAAACACAAATCTCAATATAAGTATTTAATATGCAATAACCCTACTGCACTCTTACCATGTGACACAATAATCACATGCAGATTATCGAAATCATTTAGTGAAATAAAAATAAATTTAAATTATAAATAAAACGTACGTTTTCTCAAATTATTTATCAAGACCACAAATTTATGTCAATATATATTACGCCGAAGTATTTGTTTGTATTACAATTATTTATTTGAAAAATATACAATATTATATTAACAAGTGAGTAGCATAAAAACATGTTTTTCTTATTTGAAACAAATATTTAGTACCGTGGTATTTCACCATTCCTCAAAAGTTAATCATAAAATATCTATATATTGGAAAATTAATTATATATAC